TGTGTGTGTGTGTGTGTGTGTGTGTGTGTGTGTGTGTGTGTGTGTGTGTGTGTGTGTGTGTGTGTGTGTGTGTGTGTGTGTGTGTGTGTGTGTGTGTGTGTGTGTGTGTGAGAGAAATGGTTGAAGGGACTGGGAGGAGGAAAGATGGTGGACGAGTGCAGACTGGCAGCAGCAAGACAGTCTGAATACTTGGACCAGCAGGAAGTTCTTATGAGGACATTTAGTTGCTCTCTTCCTGACATTGAGAGCGTTTTGGAGAGCTGGTTCAGTAACTGGGCACACGCTGTGTTATTTTCCCCTAAAAGAGCAGCTCATGACTCTGACTCAGTGTGTGTGTGTGTGTGTGTGTGTGGGGGGGGGGGGGGGTTTAAGAGATGACGTGAGGGATGTTTGCTGATCATTGGTAGGAAGTGTTGGGTTACAGCTGCCTCGGCGCTTGACCACACTGCGTGACCACACTGCTATAACAGCTCTAGTGTAGTTTAGGAAACAGAATGAGGAGAGAATATTAGGGTCGGGTACCAAACCTCAATACTTACACAGACTCAAACATGTCTGAAGCAGTGAGCTTAAAATAAGGCTGGAGTTCCATGTCTGGTCAGAGCCCAGAAGCTCCGCCCCCTCTCCTGCACAGAGCTCTGTTTGTTTTCTTGTAATTAAAAGGTTATTAATGTTGAATGTGCCGCGTTTCCAAATTGAACCCAAATTGACACGGCGCTCCCTTTGGTCACCAGCAATGCACCCACGAAGTGTGACGGAGATTGGATCAAAGGTTTTTAGAATATGGGAAGTCTTTCCTTCCTCCCTAATTAGAATTTTTTGGTATTTTACAGAGCGATTCATTGAGAAAGTAATCGTCAGATTAACGTCTCTGCTCTTCTTATATTGGGAAAGTTGACTATTTTTTAAATCTATCTTTATGACATGGCAGGAGGTGGACTTTGTTTTAGAAGATGAGATGGTACCCAGCACTGATGAGTACTGCTGCTGGTATTAAGTCAACCAATGTCCAACACAAATAGCTCATGGACACGAGGGCAGCTTTCTAGCACATTGGCATTAATAGAAAATGAGAAGTGATCTGCCGCTAGTTAACCGGCTGCAGGAGTGCTTCAGTGTGACGTGTAACATTTCTTCTCCAGCTGTTCCAGTCTGCAGATTAACGATAGGAGCATGAATGTCTATGAAAGATGCGTGATGAGAACTGTGTATACGTGTGTCGCTGCATACATTTTTGCACGTGTCACTAACCGCTGTCTGCCGAACAGGCGTCTCGAGCTCAGATCCTAGACAAAGCGACAGAGTACATCCAGTACATGAGGCGAAAAAATCACACGCACCAGCAGGACATCGACGACCTGAAGAGGCAGAACGCTCTCCTGGAGCAGCAAGGTAACCAAGTCTCTCTGTTCTTCAGTTTAGGTTTAGACTGATACCACACGTTTTGTTTGCAGAACGTCTGCGCTAGCGTGTGGCAGATGTGAGGATTCAATATTTGTAGCCTGCCGTTAGGGACTCTGATGACCTCATCAGAAGAGGTTTTTGAGTTTTAGCAAATCAAATTTGACCCTCCTCCTGCCGGCGAGGAGGGAATAGAAATGCTTCACTGCCGTGTCTGTTTTAGTTTGTTGTCGTGATTGTAGTGATAAAAGAGCATGCGGGTGGCTGGTTTGCGAACATGCATCACGATCTCAACATCCAAGTTGTTTGTGCCGCCACAACATGAGACAAAGCTGAAGTGTAGCCTCTCCTTCGCTTAGCAGAGCTTCTAGAACTGGTTTTCTCTTAAACGTTGACAGAGATGCATGCAGGACTGAATTAAAGCCTAACCAGCCTGGCCTATTGTTTTTACTCTTCAAAAAACGGTTTGATAAATATATATATAATTTTATGTTGTAGTTGAATGCTAATTAAGCATTATTGTTTATTAACGAGTACAGCAGTCGATGTGCATTAAGCCGAGGAACATATGTAAGGTAAATAAATAATAGAAACCAACTATGAGGAAAAGATAAGATGGGGCACGACTTAAAAGCTCAATTCAACCGCACGCATTAGACGGGACTGTTTTTAGCGAGTAGTAGTTTATTGTTGTGGACGTGAAGAGAGAATCTCCACGGAGGTTTCTGCAAATAGATGGGGCAACACGCCTAATGTCCATTTTGGATTCCCAGATTATCTGCATTTCGTCACCGGCTCATTTTGAAATCCCCCCGTGGGTTCTTGTGTGTCCCTGCAGTCCGCGCTCTGGAGAAGGTGAAAGGCTCCGCCCAGCTCCAGGCCAGCTACTCCTCGTCTGACAGCAGCCTGTACACCAACCCCAAAGGCAGCGCCGTGTCGGCGTTCGACGGAGGCTCTGACTCGAGCTCCGAGTCGGAGGCCGAGGAGCCGCCCAACAGGAAGAAGCTGCGCGTGGAGGCCAGCTAGAAGGGGCGGGGCAGTTGACACCTGGTCACGGTCGGAGGAGGCGGGGCACGAAGGAGGGGCGACGAGAGGAAACGCAGCCTTCAAAAGCTCTCGAGGCTCATCTACCCCTCCTCCCTCCCCTCTCATGCCATCAACAACCACCTCCAGCCTCCCTCCCCGTCCTCCCTCCTCCTCATGTGGGTGGGCTCACACCGGAGACTCATGACCCTGCTAACCTCCCGACACCGCTGCCACAATTGTCTCCCGTTCCACCCGATCTCCAAGAACAGGAGGGAGGAAGATGACTGCTTCAACCCACGTAGAGAGCTTCAGGTTTTTCTCTCCCCCCCCACCTCTTTTCTTTGGTTCTCCGTCAATGGTATTCCCCCCCCCATCTACAATCCCAAACCCAAAAAGAGGCAGCTTGGCTACTTAAGGACGTGATGCGTTTTTTTTGTACCCTCAATAAAGCTCCTCCTCCCCGGGTTGTTTTTTTGGGGGGAGGGCGCTCCTGGCGTACTCCAAGCATTGCTATATTATATATTTTGGGTTTTATTTTTTGTTTATTTTGTTCTTGATTAAAAAAAATCAGTTTAGAATTTACACACACCTAGATAAATCGTCCCGGAGAAGTTTACCTATTTAAAATACTAAAGTCAAACATTTATAGCTTACTTTTTTTCCACTAAAGAATGTGAAGACGCTCTGAAGCGAACGTTAAAGTGATACCCACCTCAGGCCCACTGGATCGCAGATGTTTTCTGCCCGACACGTTGTGATCACAAGATTTAAAAAAAACAAAACAGGACTCCTTTGTTGAAATTGATGTTTTGAAGGAGAATATTCCTAAACTTGTACCGTATTGTCCTCTAGCTTGAAGTAGTGAATGACTTTAGGTGGCTGAATACATTAGGCATCTCGTTTTATATATTATAACAGCATTGATTGGATGTTTTCAAGTATGTTATGCATTTTGTAGTAATCTCACAAGTCATGGAGAAATGCCAATTTGTCACATAGTTTTCCTTAAGGGTATGAAATAGGTATTGAATGTCAAAAGGTAGCTCCCGTCGTTTGCAGTGCAAGGAATCAGTAGTTCCCCGTCGATGTGTTGTGCTTTACACGGTAAAAATCAATGTTGCTGAATCTCCCCCCCTGCCCCCCCAAGGAAAAAAAAGGAAGCATTTTGCGTGTCTAGGAATATGGTTTCCATTTTATTTCTATTTGAGGATATAATTAGTGTAATAGTTCTGTTTGTCAGATTCCATTCCATGGAAATTACAAAGTATGTTGTACATACTGCCAACAATTGTCTTGCAAGTTGAGGCCTACCTTTACTATGAGACTATAAAATAAACTATTTTATCCTTTAACGTGCTCCTTGTGGTTATTTAGAGATTGTGTTTCCCTCTAACAGCCCGCACTGACCTCAAAGACTCAAATGTTTGTTTTATTCAGCACGTTTGATTTAAATGGAGCAGTTCCCCCAATAGCCACTCGTCTGGAAACCAACGGCTGCTTTTAACCAAACTGTCGAAAACATAAGTCAAAATATTGGGAAGTTTGACGGAAAATTTCCAAGCAAAAACAAACATTCGCACGGTTCACTTAAGGAAAATAAAAGGATCTAGTGGAGTCTTATTTTGTTGAACTAAGAATAATGAAATTTAAATATACTGATGCTTAAAACACTGGAGTCAGTTACGTTTTTTCAAAAGATTTAAATAGATTGTTCTCGTTAACAGTCGACCGTTAAGTCGTAAAGCATTTTATAACACCATGGAAATTCTATACAAAGGTTTATTAACTGAGGTCAAACTGAACGTTTCACTTTTATTTTCAGGCAATGAAAACATTCGGCATCGCAAGCAAAAATCCAGCTAAATGCTAAACTGCCCACACACACACACACACACACACACAACTGTTGACCTTTTACTCAGGAAAACTCCTAAAGTCCAGCCCTCATTTCTACTGACGGTCGACCGTCTCAAGGTCTTTGGGGGCTTGTCTACGTGAGCCCCGCCTGCTGTTTGATGGTTTGAGTCCGTTAGCCGCTTCACACGCAGAGACGTCTCCGCTGACGACTAACTAGGACTGACGGTCACGTGATCTGGAGGCGGCGGCGGGGTCCGACACTCCGTCGTCGGGGACAGGCAGCCGGTGAAAGTGCTGCAGGGCCTTGGCCACCTTCTCCGGACAAATGTTGTAAACTGGATGAGTTGGAGCCTACGAGACGACAAAATAAAACTCATGCTGTACCATAAGGTTTTATTCTAAGCCTTCCATTTCCTCCTATTCATGATCTGGTTCTTGGCTCAAAAGTGGCCTAATTTTCCAGCAGCTTTATCTAATCAGGCTCGGGTGTAATTACAGTTTCAGTATTACTTACAATGTGCGTCTTTAATTAGAGTAGAGTGTAAACTGTTCACCGTCCAGGGAGACGTTTCATTGACTTCTTCAGAATGAAACTAGTCTGCCAAAGAAGAATCAATTTCTTTTAACGCTGCACTGTATTTATAGTTTGGTAAGGGGACACAACATTGCAACACAGTCAAAGAAAAGAGAAGATAATAATGCTCACACTTCTACTAAATATGTGATAAACCCACTACCATTACTGGTTGACTCCTGGATTCTGTATTATAATCCAAAGAGATATATGTATGTCTGGGGGGGGGTTTCAACAGGAAACATGAAACCAACACCACTGACATCTTAAAGTGAAACCACAAGCCCTCTTACAACCAACAACATCATTGCTTCACCTTTCTCATTTGCATAACAGTGTACCCCGATCAGGAAGTGAAGCCACAGACCGTCGCACACTGAAAATGAAAGGCGTGCATTCAAAGCTGCATAATGAGGAACCATGTCGCGCTCTCTTGACTAAATCCATTTTGAATAAATGCATTTGCATACCACGAATAAATGGCAGATTAAAGAACAAAATTTGTACAACACGGTGAGAAACTAAAAGGGTGAATTAGAGGCAAGGTGAGCAGCTGAGACTTTTTAAAAATGTGTCGAGTTAATTCAATTTGGAATAATTTCTTTATATTTTAAGGCAGATTAGACTCTTATTGCAACCATTAAATCTTCACAACTGATCACATCAAGCTGTTTGGTAATAAAGAAGTCTATGTATTTTGGGACACTACAGATACGTTTTTATCACCTTTCCTGGTGTAGATCAACGTAAACACTTTTTTGAAAGAAGAACTCTGCAAAAAGAAAGTCAGCCTAACGGTTCTACAATCACCACATGATTCCAACATGATCCATTTCTATATAAAATAGCAACACATCCATCCCCGATAGTGAATAATCCACTTCTGGATGAATTCCCCTGGTTGAGGCGTCCCCCCGTCCCCCCCAGCCACGCTGCAGTCTCACCAATCTGTTCTCCTCCCTGCCGAGGATCATCTCATGATGGAGGTCCACGTTTCCAAAGTGCTGCGCTATGGAGAGGCCGCTCAGGCAGTAACACGTGTGGTAGAAGTCTCTGGATCTGGACACATGGAGACACAATGCCGGACAGTGTAAAAGGATGTGCGTGAGTAAAGAACAAAATGTGAATCACATTGTGGACAGCTGCCACCAGCCCTTAGTGTGTGTGTGTCCAGATGGTGCTGTACTGACTTGCCAGGCTTATCCAGAAGGCCCCCTGTTGGGTTCTGACAGCACAGGAGGAGGTACTCCTGCAAGGCCTGCTGCTCGAACATCCACCTCTGCCGACTCAGCTCCGATTCTCCTGCACAAACACAATTCAGCCAGACGCAAAACTCCTGTCACTGTGATGCCCACAAACACGGCACACGTATCTTCTACTGTACGATGCACTTTCTGAGCAGTGCTTGCTACAAGAAGACCGTAAAATGTGATGATCGGTATCTTTTTTTGGGAGCAGAAACTGGTCAAACTGGAAATGAGCAGCCCATATTTACCTCGCCATCGGTTCAGTGTAGCAACAGTAAACTCAAGTCGGCAAAGAGAGAAGCACTCTTAATCCCCTTAACGGGAGGCCTCCGTGTGTACACGACACTTAACACCGGCATAAGGAGGTTCTCTTGGTTTATTGTGTATTGATTCTGTGGTGGCAATGTTAGTGGTGAAAAAACACAATTGATATTGAGTTGACTCTCAGGAGAGAAATCCGTTTATTTTCCACTTATTTTTTAATAAGAAAGGGTCACATTTGTAGCTATACCATTTCTAGAGTCCGGTCCGTGTGTGTTCAGACTTTGCTATGACCAGAGACACGGTACCTTCTTTGAATAAGGCTCTGTGGAGTAGCGGCAGGAGTCCAGCCTGCCAGAAAGAGTAGCAGCCGTCCACCAGTTTATTACAGCGGCCCTGGAAGCCTCCTTCGAATCGCATCTGTCTGCCGACCACCCACCGCTGAGGAGCACACGCGACAAACACACACACACACACACTTCAAACAATCTTTCAGGATGTTAGAATTACCCGTCAATGTCTTTCAGTTCACCCGTTCCCTTTTTCTCGCGCAGTGTGAACCACATAGGAATGAATACCCTTTCAACTTCACTAGTTATTCAGCTGTAACATGTAAATATCTGAATGTTCTAGCTTTTAAAAAAGGCATTTGATCCCCCAGCAGTAATCTACACCATAAACGCTTCATGCTGAGTTTAGTGCCGTGTCTACTTGATTCGAATAGACGGGCCGATCACTCATTGGCCCGGCTGCGCTGTGGGAACTATGCTGCTTCCCTTTTTTCCTCTCTGTACCCGACAGGCGACATGTACTGTAATATTGTGCAAATTTCTCATATTTTGAATGAAGCACCGGGCGTGTGTTTAATAAAAGCGGGGCGTTCGCGTCGTCATTTACAGAGTTTTTGAACATAAATTAAATTCTCTCGCTGTGAGCTCGTTTGAAGAACGAGCTCACAGCGACATTTGCGACATTTGAACACACCGACATGTGAACATATATAAATACCGACATGTATATTTAAAGTTTTAAAAGGACCAGCGTGTAGACTTCACTGCCGTCTAGCGGTGAGATCGCAGATCGCAACAATCTGACTGAATGATGAAGATATAAACGGCTCATTTTGAAGCAACGAAAACACAACGACTCTTAGTTTCAGGTGAAGAAAACGTAGTTATGAGCTTTATATTCTCTATGAATCCCCCTAAATCCTACAAAAGTGTTCCTGGACGATGACTAAAAAGAAGCCAAAGCAGCCAACACAAGCTGTTCAATAAGAGACAGAAACTCTTTAACCCTCCGTCATTAGGCATGTGGCCTGCTGCACACGACTCTCTGCCCAAACTAAAGCTCCAGGGCTGCGGTTCTGCCCTCTTACTTCTCTGGAAGCCGGCACATGACGAGAGAGAATTTCCCTGAAGGGATCAACACAGTGTCCCGATGGAAATTTGACCTCAAATGTGCCAAGAGCCTGGCGGCAACATAAACAAAAAAGAAAAACAATAACGCCTACAGCTACATCTCTAAAAGGTTCTGCAAGACAGGAGATGTTGTCTCTAAGATGCGGGACAAACTCTTTTCTAAATAAACAAAAATAAATACCAAATAAATACCAGCTGTTTACCTACTGAAACCTCCTCTGGGTTATAACATTGTATTCTTATTTAATCACAGCTGTGTGTTATCTGCTTGAGCAGCCTGCAGACGGGATATTGCTTCAGCACATCCATCTTATTTCGATAGTGTCCGTTTCTGTGCGTCTGTAGGACTCGAGCCCAGCAGCCCCTCAGGTCATCCTGTTTGATGCTGTTTCAATACTTATTTGTTTTTTTTTGTTGAATCAGCAAGAAAATGGGCCCAAAAGGTGATGGGAGCTCCTCACCAGCAACGCTTTGAGGTCCAGCATGTGCTCTTTGCCCAGGATGACGAGTGCAGCCGTGCCACAGAAGGTGTAGCCGCCGTGGGCCTCCAGACCCGGCACTCCGCTCAGACCTCCTTCCCAGTTCTGACAACTGGAGGGCAAAGGAAGCGAAACACACGGTGAAAAAAACACACATTCCCCGGTTTATGGAGGTACAAAAATGGCTCTTTGATAATTCAACAATAGAGCCGCTGTGGTGGGCTGTACCTGAGGATCCAGTTGGGCGTGTCCTCAAACAGTTTGGGAATGAGGATGTTTGTGAGCGACGCTACGGAAGCTGCACAATAAGCACTCCTATAAGACGGGAAAAACACAGGCCGATATGGATCAAGAGAGAGAGAGAGAGAGATGTGGGTGAGCAGGAAGTCTGCTCTTCCTACACTTACACATTATCATCCACATCTTGTTATTTTTAGACTGCCAGCAGGCCGAATACAAACAGCTTTTTTACGTGTGTGTAATCTGTCATCCTGGCCTTTTAACTTATATCTTTTTTTTTTTTTATTATTATTATTATTATTATTATTATTATTATTATTATTATTATAAGACTCCAGAAACGACTGAGTTTACCCAACACGTCTCGTCTGTCTGTCTGTCCAAAGACTGACGGCTTATTCCTGCGTGCATGACCGGTGGTAACCTGGAAACACACCTCTGAGCGTGCTCAGTGAAGCGACATGGAGCTTCTCTCCAGAGATCAGGAATACAGGTGTGGAGTTCTTTCAAAATAAAAGACACTGGTCATTTTAGCCGAGTATCAGACTTAGCTAGCAGGACACATTCAGGGCCATGAAAAGAAATGTACACTTGTGTCATCTTATCTCAGACGATACTTGTTAGTCTGATTAATTCATTGCTGGTTTTGGTATTTCATGGGATTTGTTGACAATAGAGAAGACATTGAATATCACCGGACCTGTCCTTAAATGTTAAGAGGGTCTGAGCAAATCCTGCTAAAACAAGGCTGTTCGTTCATACGTTTTTTTTTTTTAACAGGACAGCGACAGATGAGCAAACCCGTCAGAGAGGAAAAGAGTTTCAATAATACAGAATGACAGCAGAGCATTAACTGGTTGGCAGCAGATAACAGAGTGAAACAGTAACTTTGGCTTTTGAAGTTCTCTGTTGAAACGGAGGACGAAACCTCAAAGCTGCTTATTAAAAAAATCCACCGCCACACAGAGCAGATTCAAAGAGACACACACACAGAGACAGACATAACATAAATCCACTCTTACACAAGAGAGCTGTGGGTATTTCTCCTCTTTTTAGCAACAAAGAGGAACAGAAAGCACAAAAAACACAAAGCAAAGGGAGATAAAAAAAGAGACATTCTTTTAAAAGAATGTCCTACTTCTTCGGCAAACACTCAAGGAGGAATAACATTGTGGATACCGAACGTGCTCCTAACTGTGACGGAGACTTTGGTGATGTATGGATCTTCCTGTGTGGTGCGGAAACAAACAAAAGGAAACAAGAGGGTGGAGGAGGTAGCGCCATCTCACCTGACATCCACCTCTCCTCCGACGTGCATCACAAACGAGCCATCTGGCTGCTTCACCGACATCAGGAATTCTAACAGCTTCTCCCTGGAGACGGCCGATGTATGAAGACACGAAGAGCAGGAGGGGGAGATAGAGGGGAGGCGAGAGAAACATCAAAGGGGGGGAGGGGACATTGTAAATACTGCACATTTTCATAAAGCGTAGCAGCTTCACCCGTCAAAATGTAAACACAACTTCTACATGCTCTTGTAATAGCTATTGGTTAAATAGAAGATAAGTCTGTAATAATAGTAACAATTAAATTACACTGAATAGTATTTAAAGGCAAACATTATACAGCCACTGATTGAAATGTGAATATCATTACACTTAATAATACAACTAAGTAGTGTTCAATTATTATTTAATTATAATCTCAAGCCCTTTCATTCAGACTGATTGTGAAACCCTTCAGCTGATTTGATATAAAACAGTGTTTTGTGTATTGTGTACAAAGTCACCATGAAAAACTGCTGATCTTGGCATGTGAAGTGGGATTTTTTTGTGAGAAAAATAAGTATTGTAAACTCTACATTAAAGCTGCTGAACTGTTATTATTTTATCAGCCAGAAATAAAAAATAGGAAGCATCCCGACACCTAAGTATGAAGGAGTCTTATAACAAAACAATCACCTAACTATTAGCCAGACTCTTTGAAGCTTTTCTGAGTTCTATAATGTTGTGGTGGGGGACGCCGTACCTGTCTATAATATTAAAGGCCTCCTCTGTGCCGATGATGCAGAGGGCGTTGACGGCAGCGTAGGTGGGCGCGAGGTGGGCGTGTTGTCCCGGTCCTCCGGAGAAACCGCCAGTAGCGCTCTGACAGCGAGCCAGAAACTGACACACGCTGGAGAGAAGAAGACCAAGAAGTTAAAGACCAAGAGTTGTTTAAATCCTACAGACAGACAGACAGACAGACAGACACCGTAATGGACAGTTGGATGTCACTGTACTACATGTATTTAAATATCAAATAACAGAGGATGTGCTTCTTGCATATTTAATTATGAATTTTTTTGTCACACATTAAAACACAACGGTTTCGATCCACGAGAACTGCGCTGGAAGGAAAAGCCAACATTAACCCTTTGCCAACACTGACCCGAGAACAGTGAACATTTCATGGGACAGAGACAGCAATCTGCTGTAGGTTACATTGTTATGAATCCTGTGTGTGTGTGTGTGTGTGTGTGTGTGTGTGACAGAGAGAGACGGAGAGAGAGAGAACGAGGACGTTACATTGGCGCTGGGCAGTGCCAGCCGGTGTGTTGGCACGACCTCGCGGTAATAATGAGTGTGCGGGTTGGCAGCCCGGCATCGCCACTCGCTACGAGGGTTTGCCGAGTGTTAATTCCGACTGGCAGTAATTTAAAATCAGACGACAATAAAAGCAACACCGTTTGAATTTACAGCTGCATAGACTCGTCTGAAATAACACCTGCTTGTTCTGCCCTATAGCGTCGTCACAAAATAACGACGATTGGAGGAAAAACGTGAATTCCTTCTCACATCAACGACCACTACTGATGTAAGTGGGTGCTTGATTATAGACGAGAATTAAGATGAATTGTTTGCAGATATTTATGGAAACTACAAAGGCGAGAAATTATTTAACAGCACAACCGTCACTCATATTAATGTACAAAATAAATTGACTACTGCTCATTATATGATCATTTAAGGGTTTATTTTATTCTAGTAAAAATGTCTTCTCCGTCTGTGATGAATCCTTCTGGTGGCATGATGATAAAAAAGTCCTTTTAAAGGCATATTTTATTTTTTAGAGCCTTGAAATGAAGACAAAACTGTTTCTCCATAATATCAGATGTAGTTATGTCCTTTAGTGGCGTATGAAAAATATGAAAACACGTCTTTTAACATCTTGGAGCCATATTGGAAAATAACTCACTTTAACTTCCCTTGGATTGGTGTAAACATTGTGTTTTATAAGCCCATGTTGGTAGAGAATTCACATTACATCACTTGTAATATATACTTATATTATATTACACAATAAACCTTCAGATATTGTTGCAATTAGACAGTTTGTGTGCAGCTGCTGCAGTTAATTATCAGCAATTTTTTGCTGCAGCTACATTTGCTCTGCTCTAGTAATTATGAGAACTGTGTAATAAATAATACAAAGTCTCTGGCAGTGCCCCTCGGTAGGAGTCTCGTTGTAGAGTGTGTAGTACCGTGTGTAGTACCGTGTGCAACTCACTCTGAGGCGACAGCAGCAGGAATGGGCTCCTCTAGTAACTCCAGACTGTGAAGAATCCAGAAGCAAAGCCACGGTCTGCTAGCATCCAGACACTACCCGGACGGACACGGACACACGGACACACACACACACACACACGATCAGATGGGCATCAGATGACCAATTACAGCAGTACACGAGATAGTGAAATCAGTCAGACAGAGAGGGAGACGACAGTAAACAGAGCAGCAGAGGCCCAGCCTTCAGGAGGAAAACGACAAAAGACGCAGAGAAATAATCACACCACTTATTTTCACCGTTTACGATCAAAACAATACAGTAGTTTGACGTCTTTTGTGCTCTTGTTATATATACATAATATAATGACTCAGATTGTAATTTCCATTGCCGACATGGCTGCTAGATGGCCGTGAAAGATGTTTACTCCCGTGTGATACCGTACCTCATAAGCATCTGATAGGTGCCGTAAGCCCTTCTTGAGGTATTGGTAGTGTTGTTCCCGCAACAACATTGGCCTGAAGACCAAACACAGGACAGAAGCAGCGGTTAGAAAAAAAGAGCAGCAGCTTGGAAGTAAATGTCAGAAACAGACCTCTGAGAAACAGCCAACACTCATTTCACAGCCTTTGTAGAGAGGCGGTTCTTGGCCATACTTACTTTCTTTTTTTGCCATTTTTGAATATCAAGTGATACCTCAAGTCATAACACAAAATGAAAAATGGTTTTCAGTCGGTTGTCCACCAGGTAATCTCTCTGCTCGCTTCTCTCTTCACATGCAAGGCTTTTGACTTTCCTTTTTATATTGTGTGAATATTTTTTTAAACCAAAACTCACAGATTGAAAACTATTCCATAAAATCTGAGAGAAGCAGAATAATACAACCATTTCCGTAGGTGTCAGCATTTCTTGTATTTATAGATCTATATCTTTTGGCTCCTCTGCTTTTTACTTTGTCAGCAGGAAAGTATTCTGGTCTGTCCTCATTGGGAACAACCAAGAAAAAGGAACATAAAACCCAATTCAAAGATACTGTAATGCAGAATATTACATTACTGAAACATCGTGTTGTATATTGTTTGTGTTGTTTGTATAAAGGTCCATCTAGGGACTGAAACAGGAAACTAGCTTGGGCTCCTAATGCTGAGGCATGTTGCATTGGTACTTGATTTAAACAGTATTGCAGCAGCAAAACAATGTAATAAGTAAATGTACAGTTCTTGAAAATGTGATGACTCCTACAAATGTAATACAAGTTTCACTAATATTGCACCAGTAATGTAATAAACTGCCCTGATTGATATTGTAATAACATTTTTACCGTTAATGTAACACCTCTCAGGCTGCTCTTTGTAAACACACCAGTGTTTGACAGTATGTGTGTCAGTGAGTCAGACAGTTGACCCTCCCACCCGGTCCCATTTACCGCCTGCCCTTTTCACGCACTGTTTGCTGGGACGATTGTAATTACGCTCTACCTACAAAGGGTTAGTCACAGATCGCTGGCCAGGGATTCATAGCTGCGATCACTGCAACAATCGGAAGGGAGAACAAGACCGGCGCTTAGCAGCTAAAAGCCAGTCCGCCCACCCCGGCTGTGCCCGTCAGAGACGAGGCTTCGACTCGGCTGTTTGAAAGTTGGGGGCAGTGCGAGTAAATTAAAACCCATAATTTCACCCTCAAATTCAGCAGAACTAACATTTAAAACAGGAGAGAGAGAGAGAAAGAGCAAATACTGCCTGAGGCTAAATAATGAATACGTCCAACCCTCTCAACTTTATTCCACGTTGTTTTCGGCTGTCTCACACTGGTTTTAGTGGCATATTTGGCTGGTTTTTTTACAACCAATTTTGTAACTTTTGGTAATAACACAGAGGGACATAGCAAAAGCTACACACACACACACACACACACACACACACACACACACACACACACA